TCAACCATTTGCCTACTGAAGTTAATACACCTCTACCCCGATATAAGCGGTCGTGGGGAGCCAAAAATCCCTACCGTGTTATAGGTGAAACGTCGTTATATCGGGGTAGCGGTGGCAGGGCTCCAGCAGTGATTTAAAGAGCCCAGGGCTCCGGGCGCTGCGGGGAGCCCAAGGCCCTTTAAATCACTGGCCGAGCCCCGCTGCTGCAGCCCCGGAGTAGCGGCGGCAGGGCTTTGGCAGTGATTTAAAGGGCTCCGGGCTCCCCGCAGCATCCGGAGCCCGGGCTCCCCGCAGCATCCGGAGCCCGGGCTCCCCGCAGCATCCGGAGCCCGGGCTCCCCGCAGCATCCGGAGCCCGGGCTCCCCGCAGCATCCGGAGCCCGGGCTCCCCGCAGCATCCGGAGCCCGGGCCCTTTAACGCGCCGTCGGAGCCCCGCTGCTACCGTGCTATATGCGAACCCGTGTTATATCGGGTCTCGTTATAGCGGGGTAGCGGTGTAAGACCAGAGCTCTAAAGAGAACGTCTTGTGGTCGTTAATTCCTCATATTTGTCATTCTAAAGCTTCAGGAACGGTGATGCTATTTTTTGCTGAAACGGTGTCTGAAATAAAGGACTTGGGTTACTTACATCTACCAGTTTCAGTGAATTTATGCATCAGATTCCACTCAAATGCCATCTTGCTGACACTGCTTCTAAAACTAATTCCTGACAAATGGTCCTTGAGGGTTACTAGCTCTACCAGTTTACCTGCACTATGTGTAATAAACCCTCAGATGAAAGGCTGATGGAGATCAAGTTCATCTTTATAAGACCAAACCTGAATTTGCAGCTTAGAGTAGGAGTTGGATCATTAACATGACTACATACATATGACTTGATCTGATGAATTGTGGCTTTCCTAGGGAAACTACTATGCACAACTTCATTAATTGTGAGATTAATTAGAGGTAAGAGGAAATAGCATCATTGTGGTACCAGCTCAACTTCTAATGACAGCCATAACTCTACCCTGTATCCTCATCTGCCATTCAGATATACACCAGAGGATCTCACAATCAGCATGATAGTAGCAGACTCTTGTATATGGTGTCTAATCAGTGCTGTAGTGGAACTCATGACGGCAGCACTGCAAGATGATATAGCATAGTTTGGAAAAGTAGTGTGGACTCTCTCTATAATGCATTGGGTGAACAGGTTTTATGCTAAAACTAGTTTGTATGTGGGATTTATTGCCTCCACTTTATAGCGAGGAGGCTGTACAATGGATTCTTACACCTGTAGTAGGGTGGTGGACCGGAAGTTTGTCCTGTATGTGAAAACTCAAATAAGGTATTGTAGCTTGTGAGGGAGGTGTAGTAGTCTTGATCCTAAGTGTATTAGTGGTCCAGCTATACAAGTGTATAGCGAAGATGGAGTGGGTGGGTTGAAGAGTGGTAAGAGGGAGGTCTAGGCTGGGGTAAAAGATATGGTTGCAGGGCTGGAATTTTGAGTACTATCAGTCCTAGATTGGTTTCATTACCTCACTCAAATAATGACACCATCGTGATCTAGATCCCCTGTCACTTTAAAGGTATCTCAGTCTTTATTTAGTCTTTGGGGTTAATATCTGTTTCAAAGTGAGATAGTCAGTATTGTATTGATGACTGGGGTCATGAGGTATCATCCCATACAGTCTGAGTGGTGTGGACAGAGCCCAGTGCTTGCATCAGAGCAGTCTGCAGTGCAAGAGGCCTGGGTGGCTCAGGCACTCAGCTAAACACTTGAGACTTTGAGGGCTGCTGCTATAGTTAAAGTGGCTGGGGCAGAGTTGGGTGACACTGCTGCTGGTTGGGTGGCAGGGGCATGCAGCCACTAATGCTTAAAGGGCTTGATTGAGGGCTTCCAACACTATACCATTCAAGCATTGGTTCTTCTGCTGTAGTGGTGCATAAAAGGGGCCTCTCTTGCACAGGACAACAGGCAGTGGGTTTTCCACTACTTGTCTTCAGGCTGGCTGGAGTCCCTGCTGCTCTCTGTTCAGTCCAGTCAAGGAGATAGAGGGGCAAGGATGGGACCTCAGCCCCATGTGACTTGAGAGTTGTTTTCAGACAGCATGAGGTGCGCAAGTCCTTTTGCTGGGGTGGAGTGGGGCAGAGGCATCGCTCTTCCTGATGAGCAGCACATCTTGGAGACCGCTCAGCCTGTCCTGAGGAGTGGGTTGTAGGCACCCCAGCAGATGGTAAAGATCATCTTTGCAAGCTACCACTGCCCCAAGCACAAGTGGAGCCATGGGGCTCCCTGTGTAGGGATGTACATACAGCCTAGGATGGTCTTAATCCAATTTTGGAAGCACTTAAACTGTGAAATACTTGAGAACAAGATCTGATCTGAAAGCCTTTAGTTGCCCATTGTGTCTAGGTCAAGATGATATCCTTGTGGTGCAAAGTCACAGTACAGAAATGAAACAGCAAGTAAATCTAAATAAAGCTTCACTTCCTTTTGTTAAGGAGTATATTTGACCCTTAATTAGATGTGAGCTTTGTTAAACTGCCTTCCCACAGATGGGAGGTAGGGGATAGATGGGGATTTTAAAATGTACTCAGTTTAACTTTTGGAAAGATATTGGCTGTATATCCATTGTGGGCATGTACATTGCAAACTTTCCTCCCATTACAGCTAACTATCTTGATCCTTGCTGTTCAATACCACTGTTTCCCCCGTAAGCCTCAAATACTGTCAGTGATCTAACTATAGATATTCAAATGTGGGTTAGTCCTGCTAAGAACCAGAGTGGCTCCACTAAAACTTTGTTTTGATTCAAGGCCTCTTTTTAAGGCTTGTGTATTAACCCTAGCAGGCTATGGTATGGGAGGTAGAAGTTAAGTCATAAAGGATTTATTTTAGAGACCTATTCTAGTGACATTTATAGAGGAAACGTGCATAAACAGGTTACTGTAATTAAAACGTTGAGACTGTTTAATGCAAATATTTCTTGCTTTATTAGATGACTGGTTTCAGTTCATTTGTAGCTAAACATTTAATCCAATGTCAAAATATGGATTAGATTAAAAACACACACTGCTTATAGATTTGCCAGAAACTTTCAAATAGTAGAAGGCTCTTAAAGCTGAGATTCCATGTGAATGCTCCCTGGGCGTTGCTTCTTTCCCACTCGTTCTTGGCTGTTACAACCTGAACAATACTTCAGCAAAAGATGATTTATATTATGTAAATTTCATGGAAAACTGTAAGCAGCAGAGGTATAACTGAACAGGTGGGGAGGCATAAAAACCTGGATGTGAAGAGGAAAGGAAGCTCTGTCCCTCTCCCCAAATTTGTTGTCAGCCAGAAAGCAATAGGAGAGTCAGATGCTGCATTTCTCTCAGCAGTAGGGGCTTGGGAGCTCTGAATTTTCCACACTTGGGTATGAGAAGGAGCAGAAGTTTCAAGTGTGGTAGATGTTCCAAATGGAAAATAACTTCATCATGTTTATGTAGCATTCTAGGCAATGAATCAATGCTGCCAAAAGTTAACTAAAAGCACAATACCTTAACCTAAAATTCTCAAAGCCACCTTAATGCTTTCATCAAAACAGCTAATTTATAACACCTTGAAAGTAAGGAGTTCAATAAATGCAGGGAAACTCATAACAAGAACTCCTTTTGGCATTAAACCTCTCCAGTCTACCTAACACCTAGCTCATAGCACCTTTCTTCAGTAGATCTGAGTGCTTGACAAAGGAAGTCAGTATCTATCCGCATTTCACAGGGGAGGAAGATGAGTCACAGAGGCAGCATGAGTGGCCCAAGGACACCTAGCATGTCAGTGGCAGAGTCAGAAATAGAACCCACATCTGAGTTCCAGTCACTGCTTCCTGCTTAAATCCCCAGTACCCTGATCTGTAAGAGAAAGTGTCTCAAACACAGTAAGATGTCTGGGGAAAAACTAGTGGGACCAACTTGTTAACATTTGGATTATCACTGATAATCCATTACTTACATAAAATATAAATCTATAATAGTCATTTTTGGAAATCTTCTATGAAGCTTGTAGGATTTTTGTGTGTGTGTGTGTTTTGGACTGAAATTCAAAATTTGGTGGCTACTTAAAACTGTATTGAAATTTCCTCAAATGTTCTGAACCATTGACTCCAGTGCCCATAGCAGAATGAGACTTCCAAAATGAGATTCTTCAGTCTAACTTGACCATTGGTTGGGCATTTAGTACACCCTCTCTTTAAGTGTGAGTGCTACATGCTCCTCAGCAACTCCATGCATAACAAATTCAAATTCTGATAACATTCTTTCCCTAGTCTTTGGGAGTGGAGGAGGATAGGCCAGCAAAAAGGTATCCATGTCCTTAATGCTGTAGAGCATGCAGGGAAGGTAATGCTACTTCAATTAATAGCTGCTGGTCACTACAGCAGAAGCATGCAGGTAACTTATATTTCCCTATTCATAGGCCATTTTTACCTTTGGGTAAAGGTCTGATTTTTGGGAGTTCTGGTATGGATTAAGGCTATATTCCTAACTTCATTTTTGTTACATGGCCCAGGCTTAAAAAGTGGGATTTAATGTCACCTATCTTAATTTTGTGAACATTTAAGAATGCCTTACTATCAAAGCACAAATAGTTAAACGGAAATAACTTGAAGCACGATGATAATCTTTTCAGACCTGATTAGTTTCTCTATCTGAGATCCTATCCCTAATTTATTAATATGGTCGAGAACAGTCTAAAGGGAAGTAACTAGAAGATGCAAGTGCAAGAAATTTCAGCACTGCTTACAGGGGACAAAAGATTGATGTCATAAGTGCAGGTTTTGATTAAACTTCAAAACCAACTTCACATAGTAAGAAATGATCCTCATCAGATAAACGAAGTTCCATTTGAGATTTAGGAATACACCACTGGGGAAAAGTGCCGCTGAAGTACCAGTGTCAGTCTTTTGTGAGAGGCAAAATGTGATTTGATTTTTGGATTAAGTGAAACATCAACTGTCCATCCATTCTTTCTTTTAGGAGTTGAATGACCTGGCACGTGATCCCCCAGCTCAGTGTTCAGCAGGGCCTGTTGGAGATGACAGTAAGTACTGCCTCAGTAATAAGGCATCTAGCATGCACATTCATAGGCAATACTGGCACTGGCCTCCACTTTCTTATCTCTAAAATGGGAATACCTAACTCACAGGAGTCTCCAGCTTCAGGAAATACTTGTAAAGTCTTATCTGAATGGAAGATCCTAAATAAGTGCTAGATGTTACTCCATGTACACTTACAGGTGCTACTCCAACACCTTAATATTTTCCTCCTGGTAGTGGAGATCTTCCAGTGACTCTTAATTATTGCAGACATCTTAAACTCTTTTTACCTTCTGTTACATATTCTCGTGTATGAACAGTGGTACACATGGTCCGCTGCTATAACAGCAGGTAAAATGCTGGGGTAGCTATCAGAGTTCGTATCTAAACCAGCAAGATACCCAGGCTTAACATATCTTGTGATGCATTATCTGCATTTATACAGAGGATGCCATCAGGACTACAGTGTATACAGGAGCAGCTTTGAAATAAGGTTGTCACGTTAAATATAACCCTTACATAAAATAATATAACCTTTGCACAAAAGATGCGTGACAAGAATCTTAGCTTAAAAAACCCCTAAAGCATTAATTACAGAAATGCATTGTTGTAGTCTGATATAAACTGCACAATCCAATTACCTCTACTTTAGCCTTGAAGAGGGCTCCATATCATCCTCTCTGAGGAAGAATGAGGGCACATTCTTACTATGGTCAAACAACTTAGACACTGAAAGAATCTCAATCCTCAATCTCAGCATCAATATGGTTGTATTAAGGGGAGATCTGGGTCATACTTGTTGGGTTTTTTTGTTCCTAAAGTAGGGAAGAAAAATTGGGGATCCACCATACCTATTAAAACAGGGTGTTAACATCTGGGAGTCTGACTTCTTCTAGGGCAGTGGTTCTCAACCAGGGGTATATGTACCCCTGGTGGGACGCAGAGGTCTTCCAGGGGATACATCAACTCATCTAGATATTTGCCTTCTTTTACAACAGGCTACATAAAAAGCACTAGCGAAGTCAGTACAAACTAAAATTTCATACACACAATGACTTGTTTATACTGCCCTATATACTCCTGAAGATCTTCTGCGCTAAAAAAATTTAAAATTCTACACACTATTTTAAAATTCAGCAAATTGTATTGGTCAATAATTAAATGTGGAGGCTCCAGCATGGCAGTGGGGAGCACAGGCCACTGACTTTACACAGGTAGATCACCCTGTGTGCTGGGGTGCCCCCCCTCTCCCCCCCACCACACACACATGGGCTTGGCAGTAAAGTTGCACCCAACCCTGACACAGTGCAAGGACCAGGACTGTCTCAGAAACACCCTGGGGCCCTGCCCTTCTGTGCCAAGCATGCTAGATGTAGGCAGGCAGGCTCAGCCCAGCAGGATCCAAGTATGGAGGGGGTTAGTGTCCCTTCATCCAGGTGTGGGGCGCTAGGGTTCTGTGTGGGGCAATCTGGCTGTGCGCGGCTTGGTGGGGGTCTGGGTGCGAGGGAGATCTGGATGAACAGGGGCTTGTTTGGTGCGGGGGGCATCTGAGTGCAGACACAATGGGGCTCTGCAGGAGGGTTCAGGTGAAGGTGGTTGGAGCTCGGTGGAGGGTGGTGTCTGAGGGTGGAGGGCTCAGCTGGGGGCTTCAGGCGCTGGCTTGGTGAGGTGCAGGTCTGGGTGCTGGCTTTGTAGGGTTCAGTGGGATGGGAGTCTGCATGTGGGGAGCTAGTCAGGGTGGGCCAGGTGCATGTGGGATGGAACTTGTTGGGGTGGGGGTTTGTGTGGGGTGTGGTCTGGGTGCAGGGTGAGGTCCAGATGTAGGGAGGTGGGGCTCGGCGGGGATTGCAGGGTCTGGGTGCAGGAGGGCTCCAGATGCAGAGGATGAGGCTTGTTGCGGTGTGAGTTTTGGTCAGTGGCGGTTCTGGGTGCAGGGCGTGAGGCTTGGAGGGGCAATCTGGGTATGAGGTGGGTCCAGATGCACAGGGGGTTGGGTGGATGGGGGAGCAGCTCCCCATATAGTGACTCCTCTCCTCCTCTTCCTCCTCCCCCCCACCACACACACACACAGCAGAGGAGCGATGGGGGCAGGACAAACTCCTGGACGTATTCCTTTCCACACAAACATACACAGTCATAGGAAGATAGGATATCAGACTAGTGGTGGTCTAGTCCAGTGTCCTGTCTTGAACTCTGACTAACATCAGATCTTGCAAAGGAAGCAAGAAACCCCCAAATTTAATATTTTATTAAATCTCCTGTGTAGGAGAAACTTCTTCCTAACCCCATAAAGTTTTTTGCCTGTCCTGCAGCATGAGGTCTTGTATTCCTTATATAGCAGGGTTTCTCAACCTGAGAGTCACCAGAATCTCAGAACCAGCTGGGCTCCCTACTCTGAGCATTGCGACCTGTTGCACATAGTTGCAGCAGTGCTCGGGTTTGGCCAAGCTGCCTCTCTGGCTCTGCATCATTATGACAATCAGGCCAAGTTTGTGTGAGTGGTGCTCTGACCCCCTTTGCCAGGTCACAATGCCACTCTCGCCAATCCAGGCCTGGCCAGCTCCTATCAGGAGATCTGGGCCAAACCTGAGTGGTGCTGTGACCTCAAAGGTTGTGATACCTGAAGCAAGGAGCTGAGCCTACCCAGACCCATTGGACAAGAGCAAGGAGGGGGCGGTTGGGAAATAGTGGCCCCCAATGTAGCCCCTTCCCTGCAACCCAGGCCATCTTCCATACTTTCTGCCTGCCCCCATCCCAAGCCCCTGAGGCGGTTCTCCCTCATAGTTGGGATGATTCCTTCTGTCATACCACCCCTTTACCCTCTGCCCTCCATGGGCCTTATGTGGGGCTGTATTTTTTGGGGAGCTATTGGCTCGTCACCTCTTTGCCCCCACTTCCTTCCCCAAACCCACAACTCCTTGCACACTATACCACAGTCTCCCCACTTTACCTCCAGGTCCCCAAATCTCACCTGCCCCATAATGCCATTTGCCTCCCCCGGGCTAAGGGGGAGAGGCTGTTTTGGGGATATCTCAGCTTGCCACTCCCAGTTGCCACTGTATGAGGTCCTCAGCTGTTCACATCTGGCCAGAGCATCTGGAATCTTAGCTCTGAGCACCCTGATGGACCCCTGCAGGGGAAGCGGGGCATCAGGTCTGGGGAAGCATCAGCAGGGGAGAAATCTCTGGGTTGTGACAAGCCATCAAGGTTTACAAATGTGTATTGAGCCCAAAGGTTGAGACTTGCTGACTTTTAAGCAGTCTTTTATCCTGGGTAACTCTAGACACTCTACATAATGTACAACCAGTTAATCAAGTGCATAACCTTAAATAACCATATACATTCTTTGATCTACAGCCAGCTTACAATCTCTCTGAAATATCAGTCTTTTGTATACTCATTGTACTCTTCATGTTTGTGGCCATTGTCTTAAAACTAAACTTAAACCTAGATCTTGCAAATAGACCCATGCAGGCAGACCCTTATGCCTGTGTGAACTCCCATGGCTCCTGTGCAGGTAGTGTCTTCCCACACTCCTCCCTACAAATCCAAAATTGGTCTAGTTTCACAATTAGGGCCTTATTTGCTTCATATTAAATATATATTTTGTTTCTCCTCTCCTAGTTTAAAATAGACATTTATTAAAGTCAGAATTCTTCTAAAAATCCAAGTATGCCAAAGTAGGAATTAGAGCTGTAGTAAATTTCAGGATTACATCTGTCTGAATCTTGTATTCTAAGTTGTTACTTGTACTGATACCGCGGTACTAGAATTAATACCTCAGTATCATTAGAACTGAAAAGCTAGCAAAAAGCACTAACTTTTAACTTTGTGCAGTTCATAACTTGTATAGTCAGTTTCACTCTTTGCCTGTATAGTTGGTCAGGCTTTTTTCTTGCTCAAATGTTTGATTTTTTTTTAAAGGTTATAAACTCTCGTAGCTTGCAAGAAGTTTTTAAAAACTAGTTTAAAAAAATCTGTCAACCGTCCCTATGTAGTTAAATATTTGACCTTGATCTTATATAACTGGATGTGTGGCAGTGTAGATTTGTACTGTAGCAGAATGTACTGTATGGTGTCTTGTAGGATGGGAGTATGGCTAGATGGTATGTGAATGGTTTGATTTAGACTTCTAGGGATTGTGTTGTTGGTGTGGTACTACGTATTTCAACTTTCATGTAGGAGTTTCCTGGCTTACTACACTCTACCCCAGGGTGGACAAAGTACGGCCCATGGGCCGTTTTAAGATGGCCCTCGAGCTTCCACTGGGGAGTGGGGTCTGGCACTTGCCCTGCTTCAGCGTTGTTCTGCTCCAGCCAGGGAGCAGGGTCTGGGGCTGTCCCACACCACTCCCAGAAGCAGCAGTATCGCCCTGCTCTGGCTTCTATGTGTAGGTGCAGCCAGGGGGCTCCGCTCTGCAAGCTGTCCTGACCCCAAGCGCTGCCCCCACAGCTCCCATTGGCTGGGAAGTGCGCAGAGCTGCCTGGCTGCGGCTCCACATAGGAGCTGGAGTGGGGACATGGCCGCTGCTTCCAGGAGCTGCTTAAGGCAAGTGCTTCCTGGAGCCTGCACCCTGAGCTTCTCCCTGTGCCCCAAACCCCTGCCCCAGCCCTGATCCCCCTCCCGCCCTCCGAACCCCTTGGTCCCAGCCCGGAGCACCCTCCTGCACTCCAAACCCCTCCAAACCCCTCATCCCCCAACCCCACCCCGGAGCCTGCACCCCCAGCTGGAGCCTTCGCCCTCTCCCCCTCCCCTGCACTCTATTCCCCTTCCCCAACCTGGAGCCCCCTCCCGCATCCTGAACTCCTCATTTCTGGCCCTCCCTGGAACCCGCGCCCATACGCACCTCAACCCCAATTTTCTGAGCATTCACGGCCCGCCATACAATTTCTATTCCCAGATGTGGCCCTGGGGCCAAAAAGTTTGCCCATCCCTGCTCTACCCCTTCTTCAAAGGATTGTTTTACATATGCATACAGTTTACTGACCAGTGCTTTGGTGATAACTGCAAATACTTTTGGACTTTTTTCAGATTATAAATTATAGTAAGTAACTTGTGTTTTCCTCTTTTCAGTGTTCCATTGGCAAGCTACAATAATGGGACCAGTAAGTATATGAATTTCACATCTCCATGTAAAGAACCCTTGAAGTTGATTCTCTTGTAATAATGATTCTTTATTTTAACAGAATGACAGTCCCTATCAGGGTGGAGTATTTTTTCTGACAATTCACTTCCCAACAGATTACCCCTTCAAACCACCTAAGGTGAGTGGTTTGTATAAATCTACATAGTGGAGTGTTGTATAGCCTACATCAGGGGTCGGCAGCCTTTCAGAAGTGGTGTGCCGAGTCTTCATTTATTCACTCTGATTTAAGGTTTCGCGTGCCAGTAATACATTTTTAATGTTTTTAGAAGGTCTCTTTCTATAAGTCTAT